GCGCAGCCACAGGTCGAGAGCTAAGGTTCTCGCCTGTGTCAGCTCACTGGGAGTGTGTAGATGTGGACATGTTGGTCTCTGAGTGGTGACGACACCTGACTCCCCTTCTCTCCATTGTGCGGGTTGGAGAGGGCAGTCGGACTGCATAGGTGTGCTCTTTCTACACTGTGGCAGGCGCCATCCAGGACAAAGCGCAAAGGCCGTTTCTTCGGCATAGGTCCCTCTCCATGTAGTTCTTTTGCCTGGCATTCGCGCACACCCTCTCAAAACGTGCAATCCAAGAAGGCTTTGCAGGCAATGTAATGAAGTGATGGTGGGATGGCGAGCTCTTGCAAAGCGGCACAATTCATAAATGCTTTCGAATGGATAGTCTGGAGCGTATATGGGAGCATTATTCTCTGGAGCAGCACACAGTTTTTTTGCACGAGTGGAGACGCCATGTGTGCGGTGTGCACAGGTCATCTTTTGCTAATGGTTGAAACTCCGCATACTCAAAAACCAGAAAACAGGAAAGACACCAGGCCAACAAAACCCCAAAACCACCAAACAAAAACCAAAACCAAAACACAGACAAACACGCGAGAACAGCGGAGTTTCGTCTCTGTACATCATAGGTGAAACTTGGCGAAAAGGGGAACTGCGGCTATTTGCTACCTGGGCCACGAATTCAATTTCAAGCTGCTGTCGATTTGCATGCGAAGAGGCATTGTGCAAAAGGCCTGTAAGCGGACAGGCCAAGTCACAAGCACTTGCTGGCGCAAGTGCTCAAGCTATCTAGCAGCTTCCAACTGTGAGCTGTGCCGGAGAGTTCCCTCGGAGTGCAACTAGTCGAAGCTCGATGGTCAAAGAGCAATGTAGGTCAGGCCTTGGAAAACAGCTTTGCCCTGTCACAATCGTTCCTAGCAATTGCGAAGGCAGAAAGAGCTGTGGCCTATGGCGGGCAGCTTGCCTATGGTAGTCATTGCTTTCTGGTGCGCATTCCGGCGCCTGACGACGCTCCCTCAACAGAGGGAGCAGGTGTGCACATTTCAATCACGCTCCTTAACAGCTAAGCCTACGGGAGCGCAGCAAATGTGCAATGTGCTGTCCTAGCCGGATAGCAATCCGATCCATCAAACGACTCGCCTCCTTCATGCCCGGCCCTAGTGAAACATGGTGAAACTTAGAAGGCTAGTGTGGTGCCGTTTGCCCACTTTGTACAGGATTGGCAGGGTACGGACCCTCACCAGGCCAAGAACTAAGGTTCTCACCTGGGTTCCAACCACCTATCTTTCCTACCGTCGCGTGCGGACACAGGACGAGAACTAAGGTTCTCGCCTGTGTCAGCTCACTAGGATTGCACAAGTGTGAGTACGTTGGTCTCTGAGCAGTGACAACACCTGACTGACACTTCTCTCCTTTGTATGGGTTGGAGAGGGCAGTCAGATTGTTTTGGCGTGGTGCACTTGCTACTTGACATCTACGATGTGGCTCTGATGGACTCAGGCCAAGTCCGTCACATATCCGAGATCGGGAATCAGGTGAAGCCACTGTGGCAGACGACATCTGGGACAAAGCGCTAAGGCAGTTTCTTCGGCGTAGGTCCCTCTCCACGTAGTTCTTTTGCCTGGCATTTGCGTAAGCCTTCTCAAGACTGTACAATCTAGGAAGGCCTTGCAGGCAATGTAATGAAGTGATGGTGGGATGGCTAACTCTTGCAAAGCAGCACAATTCATAAAAGCTTCGAATGGATAGTGTGGAGTGTATATGGGAGCATGACACTCCAGAGCAGCACACAGTGCGCAAATGTAAACTCTCGAATCTCTGTTACAGTCGTTTCTGATATGTCGACGTGAGAGAGGAGCTTACAATTGTCACAGGTCTGGAGCAGCACACAGTTCGCAAATGTAAAACTCTCGGATCTCTAGTATGGTTGCGTCGGACATGTCCACCAAAGAGAGAAGCTTACAATTGTCAAGGGCATGAGCTCCTAGTCTATGGATTTTTGCACGAGTGGAGATGCCATGTGTGCGGTGCGCACAGGTCATCTTTTGCTAATGGTTGAAACTCCGCATACTCAAAACCAGAAAACAGGAAAGACACCAGGCCAACAAAACCCCAAAACCACCAAACAAAAACCAAAACCAAAACGCAAACAAACACGCAAGAATAGCGGATTTTCGTCTCTGTACATCATAGGTGAAACTTGGTGAAAAGGGGAACTGCGGCTATTTGCTACCTGGCCCACAAATTCAAATTCAGCTTTTCAAGGAGGGGGCTGGAGCCTTAGTTTCCTAGTGTGTCCATGCCATCTCCATCTCATGTGACTGCCATGCCCATGTCATACCCATGCAATGTGAGTGCCATGCCGATGTCACGCCCATGTCACCACCATGCCATGTCCATGTCATGTCCATGCCATCTCCATGTACTGTAAATGCCATGCCCATGTCATGTCCACACCATGTCCATGTCATGGCACGCCCGTCTCACCTGCTGCAGCTGGAGTGGACATACCAACTTCCACTTACCAGTTTCGTCAGTTTCACCTACCCCTCCCAGCAGGGGGACGTGGCGTGCGTTCATGCAGGGACCATGTCCAACGAAGCTACCTGACGCATGGGATATGAGAGCTGATCACTCTCACGTACCTGCATTTTTCCACTGCATTTCAACTTTTAAGCTTTCCGTCATGCACTCTGCAGTTGTGAGCGACCGTCGTCATCCTGTCGTCCCGATCTCGACTTGAGTTTTTGGCCTCACTTCCGTTTGAAGACCCCCAGGCTCTTTAGGGCTTTCCTGGACCTTTCAGGATTTGGGTTTCTTAGGCTGGCGTGTGGCATGTGGCATTCAGTTCCGTATGCATATCTATAAGTGTGCCTCTCCTAGTGTGAGCCCGGGATGAGCCCGCAGAGCGCCTCCCGTGCGTCGAGCGGGGGTTTGTCGAACATATCCCCTGCCCGGATACAAAGCAGCTTGCAGCGAGCAAAGTAGGCTTAGGCCAAAGTCATTTGCCAAGATTTGTCGAATTATTGCACTCCAAGTTGGCTTATGCCTGAACGTGGTCGTACGACCAAAGGTGGCAGCCCTCGGGCAGGCCGTACGTGGTCGTAGCGACCAAAGCTTGTTCAAGGTTCATTGGAACCTGCTGGAGCCTTAGTTTCCAGTGTGTCCATGCCATCTCCATCTCATGTGACTGCCATGCCCATGTCATGCCCATGCAATGTGAATGCCATGCCCGTGTCACGCCCATGTCACCACCATGCCATGCCATTTCATGTCCATGCCATCTCCAAGTCATGTGACTGCCATGCCCGTGTCGTGCCCATGTAATGTATGAATCC